CTGGCTGCAGGTATTTTTCTTGTTTACATATATGCCAAGCAAAGTACTGGGTTGCATAATTCACTTTATTTTGACTTACTATTGTTTGTGGTTTGCCTATTTATTTACTTATTTATTATTCTAGATATTTTGCAGTTTGCTATTTTAGAAAGAGTTGGTCTATTTTCTATAAAAAATATATAGGTTTCAGCTTTCTTACATTATATTTTATCATGTATTACTAGGACATACATAAAATATTGGGAATACAGTAGTTTTCATTAGAAGTATTAGAAATACTGTCCTTCTTGGTTTCACAGAGTTAAAACCTACTATTTTCCAGAGCATGTTGTGAAAATTCTTTTTTTTAAGGCTATTCAAGAAGAGGTGATTTAAACTTGGTGCATTTGAGTGTGGGCTGTTTTTGTTTGAAACAGAGTCTTAACATTATGAAGTAAATTCTTGTTCACAGAGATCGGATTGTGTTATATTATCATACCCTTGTAACTAATGATACTTATAATTTTGTTTGTATTTCTAATATCTCAGCATCTGAAAATTTGAGAAGATTTGAGTAAATTAAATAATTAAATCCTTCTCAGTGGTATTTTGAGTGTTGAATGAAATTGATACTTAACTTTTTCTCAGGTGGTAGAATATAAGCCTTTTTCCAAATATGTCCCTTTTGGCTTCTACACCCCTTTTGCCCCTGACTATAATTTTCTTTATCAGTAGTAGAGTAGTGAATATTTCCTCCTGAACTGAGTGTTCCTAATGCTAATTTCAGATGCTGTTTTGAGATTCTTCTAAGAGATTTTCCTGTCTTCACTTTATGGGGAAAGACTGGTAAATATTTAAATTCACTCATTTTCAAATTAATCTTTTTTTTAATTGAGCTCTATTTTAAATTTTTTCCTAATTTTCTTCTCTTTGTTATTATTTTTCAACTCTTAACAATACCAAAACTCCTTAAAATCATCCATAATTATTTATAAACATTCTTAGCCCCAGTGCAGCTTCAAATGTTCATTTCTGTTCTTTTGTCTCCAGTCCAAATCCTAGACATTGGAAGACTAACTTTCCTTTTCCCTGACACAAAATGAAGAGGTCTTTTGTTTTTGTTTTTGTTTTTTTTTTTTTTTTTTTTTTATGATTGGGAAAGTTGTTTTGTAAGAAATACCTGAGAAAAGATAGCCTGGCACAAAACCTTGCCTAGAAATGGCTATGAGTTTGATGCTGAATATTTCTAATTGTTCCCCATTGCATTTTTTTACGGTTCATTGTGGTAGGCTTTTTATTCTGAATGGTGGTGGCAGCTACCATTCCTACAGAGGAAAAGAGTCTTCCCAGGCATCCAACCACATTCCCTTGAATAGCCTTAAGAATCAAAATTCATCAGTAACTTTCCAAAGGTGCTGCTTCCCTCAGCTTACGCTTATCTGCACCCTCATTAGCCTCATCAAAGAATTCTGCAAATTTAGGGAAGTGCTTTCTTCTCCTTCACTGAAACTAAGTGGCTTGACCCTATCAACTTTTTATACAGGTTTTCTAATATTCTGACTAATATGGAAATCTTGATCAGATCATGTCCAAAGACACTTTATCTGAGATTATTTCTGCTTGAAAAGCACAGATCTCAATGAAAAGGCATTAGAACTTAACACAGGAGGGAAGGTATAAGTGTTATACATATATATATGAAGACTTCTGGTGAAATAAATTAAACTGTAGAAATTTTAAAAGAACAAATGTCATATTCAAATCACTGACAGTGTAAGTAATCCTTTTTCCTTCAGTATGCTGAGGGTAAAGCACTGTAACTTACTTAGGTTCTCTAAGAGGATGATGGCTCTATTCCTATCATCATACATATAAAGAACATTTATCAATTTAATACTGTTTGTTTGTTTGCTTGTTTTTAATATAAGGCCTCATAGACCTAGAGAATGCATGAAGTAGTCTGACTCTAGGGCTGAGTATAAAATTGCACTGTATTTGGAGAGGGCATCTTGGGTTCTGGTCTCTGGGCTTATACAGAATTGCTTTTGAGAGCACCCTTCTCATCACACAGAGAGCACAGAAGATGTTAATGTGGACACCATCAGACTCATAGCTTTTGATCTCAGCAGGGTCTAGGTGGGAGCTGGGTGTTTCATCTCTCAAAGTGCCCATCCAAGAAATGCTTTCAAACATTAAAGCTGTAGGTTCTGGGGAGCCGAATATTAAAGAGAAGAAAAATGCTCAGTGAGTTTAAGACACTTTAAGGATGTGAAAGGAGCTATTTTGGGTCACAGTTCTAGACACCTTGGTAGGTGTCCGGGTATAATACATCATATTAAACTTTTAATAACTGCTTACATAAACACTTCACCTGTAGGATTAGAAGATAATTCTCATAAAGAATTACATAAATAAATAAGAAAATAGTTTTATTAAAGTCTTTATTAAAGAAATATTGTGCTTTTTTTACTTTGTCTCTGTTTTCCAGCCATTCTACTTGAACCATTTGCACTGTATTGACATACTCTGAGCCTTCAGGAAGGCTGTTAAAATCTATAACATGAACTCACAGAGGTGTCAAATATTAACAAGTGTTCTCTGCCCTGCTGATGCTGAACAGTGATCCACCTCAGGCATCAGAAAACTGAGAGAGCTAATTTTTAATTGTTGCTCTTCCCATTCTCTCATATGGTGGGTAAGCAGGCTGAAATGTCTTTCTTCTAGCTATTCAGCTTAATATAGGAACTTGCATCATCCTCTTCTTCACGGTAGTAGGATCCCACCCAGTAGCGTACTAATTCATGTGACTAACATCTGTCTCCTGGGGTTCATTGTTTCTTTCATCCTATCCTCAGAAGCAAGATTGTATATTTAGCTGAATAATACTCAATATATCACTGTAGTGTACAGGGGTGTGTTTTTAACAGTACTTTTTGCTATGAGTCTATACTAATATTAACTATTACTAATATTAACAAGTCAAACTGGTGCACTTCCACTTGGAGTGGAAGATGATGAGGCTCATGTGGACTTCAAGTTCTAGGAGAGGCCATTCCCTGGTCCCAAAATGGGACTCTCCCTCCTGCTCAGAAAGGCTTTCCTTTACTGCAGGCTGACCTGGTGTCTGAGAAGTGAGGTCACCATCTGGAGTCCTGTCCTTCCTTCAGGCCATACAGCATTGCAGAGATGAAGTCTCCCATCTGGAATCCACACGTGCCCTTGTTGCTGGGTACACCAGAGGAACAGGCAGATTTAATATACTTGTCCTAAGGAGACATAACTGAATGCTTCTTCCATTGAATGTTTTCTTTAATTCACGAGTGCCAGTGAAGTCTTGTTCAATACCATTATGGAGTTTATTTAGCAGAAATAATGAAGTACCAAACCAACACTGTACTTTGGGTGGTTATGATAGTGTACTAGTGTGATTGTTTATTGGACTGCTGTTATTTTGGAGCTGCCTCATGCTGTCCCTTCTGCCTAAACCTAACTAAATTTTGCATAGCTTGTGGGGGGAGAAAAGTTGTCTTCTGCTGTAATTAATATTTAGTCAAAGATTTTTAAGCCTTCTATTTCCTTTAGTGCTTCACTTAACAGTCAGGTTTCTATAGGACAACAAAATGTTTAATTTCTATTTAACTAAAAATACTGGC